CTCCGCCCGCCATTGGCTAGCGGCGTATCACGTGACGGGCGCCGGCCGCGCGGGGGGCGGGGGAGGGGTCGCGGCGGTGGCGGCGGCTCGCGGGAGGCGCTGCTGAGCCGAGCGTGGCCCGCTTGGAGCCGGGACCGGGTGAGGGAGGCGCGACGAGGAGAGAAAGAAGTGCGGGCGGCCCGGGCTGCGCAGCGGCCGTCAAACCTCCGGGCTGCGTGGACGCCCCGCCCCAGTTGCGGCTGCTCTTCTGCCGCGGGCTGAGGAGGCCTTGAGTCCCCGGCTCACGCGTCGCGGCCTCCCGGCCCTAGCGGCGTCTCTGGGCAGCCTAGGCCGGTCGGGGCTCGCCGTGGGCCGGAACTAGCAGGTCCGACGGCCCCAGGGAGTATCTCCTGCCAGCCTCACGCGGGTCGTCCGCTTTGGACCCGGCGGGCGATTCGGGGGGTCGGAAACACAAAGGCGGAGGACGCGGGGTTCGAACCCGTACACCGCGAAGCCGGTGTCGGGGAGCGCTCAACGGGCGCCGAGCGCTCTGCACGCAATGCACAGATGCCTCTAGACCTGTGGCTCCCGCTCTGCGTGTGGTGCTTGCTTTCATTCATTCATTCATTCATTCATCCATCCATCCATCCATCCATCCACCCACCCATTCATTCATTGCAAAGATGTTTCCGGCGCGCTTACTGTGTATCGGATTCGCATGTAACTGCGCTATGTGTTAGAAGCAGAGCCTCCCTGGTGGCTCCGTGGGTTCTCTAACATTTCCTGAGAGTAAAAGGCCTGGGAGTCCGGAGGAGTGGCAGCAATAAGGCCACTCTCCCAGCCCTCCAGGCGTTTTCTGCCTCAAAAGATGGGGAGGAGGAAACTTCCACTTTAGAGTAGAAAGCAGAGATGGGAGTGTGATCAAAGGAGAGATCTTGAGCAGAGTTGAGCTTAAGAACTACCACGAACACCCGAGCAACGGGTTATAATATGTATTGTGGACAGTGCTGTGATGGGATGACAATTGTATACATGACTTCACATAGTCCTCAGAACAGCCACATAGGTGCTGTTCTTGTTCAGAGTAAGCCATAGCTCAGAGAGTTGCAGTCATACCCACAAACTCTCACAGGAATTCAGTAGCCCAAGGCCAGGACTGTCTGACCTGACGTCACAGCACAAATCCGAATTCAGAATGCTCTGTGGAAAGCGGCCTGGAGCTGGCTTCCCTACCCCTAGTAGTAGGACCCTGACCAACAAAGTCTAACTCTGCATCTCGTTTCCTCATCTGTCAAAAACAGATCCTAATTGCTGATCTGCTGACCCTTCAGGCCAAAGTCATGAATTTCTATTAAGATGCTATTGATGAAAGTGTTTATAGGGTGGAAAAGCCAAACACTTCATTAGCACGTGAGGTGTTTCTGAGACCAGAGATGCTGTGGTGGTCCATCAAACCCAGATTCCATGCATCTGCCTCTCACCAGGGCTGCATCCTCCAGGCTGCTCACACTAGCAAGTTAGAAGGAAAATGAGAGAGAAGGGAGCGAGAGGGAGGAGTCCCGGAGCAAGACCAAACAGAAAAATGAACAAAACACTCGGACAGTGTAAGAAAGCCTGGCTTTTCAAACAAATGCACAAGTTAATTTGTTGTGAGGACTGAATATTTGTGTCCTATCCAAAATTCATGTTAAACCCTAGAAGCCACAGTAATGAGATTTGGACAAGATAATTAGCATGCAAGTGGAGCCCCATGCTGGAATTAGTGCCCTTATAAGAAGAGACACATGAACATTTCCATCACACACACTGTGACCCAGTAATCCTATTTTGAATTTAGACAGGTACATGTTAGCATGTTATGCTAAGGATCTGAACTATGTCGGTGTTTGAAAGGCAACATCACAATGACTCCTTCGGCATCAGGGAAGAATTTGGTTCCATGCAGCCATTAAAAATAATGATTTTGGGGGGCTGGAGAGATGGCACACGAGTTAAGAACACTAGTTCTTGCAGAAGACCCGGGTTCAAATCCCAGCACCCACATGGCAGCTAACAACTCCAGTCCCAGGGAATCCAACAGCCTCTTCTGACCTCCGCAAGCATTGCACGACACGGGTGCACTTACCTACAAGCAGGCAACGCACGCATAAACAAAAAATAATAAAAGTTTTAAAAATAATAATGATTTGGGGGCTGCAGAGATGGCTCAGCAGTTAAGAGCACTGACTGTTCTTGCAGAAGACCAGGGTTCAAATCCCAGCACCTACATGGCTGCTAACAACTGTCTGTAACTTCAGTTGCAGGGGATCCGACACACTCTTCTGTCCTCCACAGGCAATGCACGATACTGGTGCACTTACATTCATGCTGGCAATACACTTATACACATAAAAATATAAATAAAAACAAAATTTTTAGTGATTTGGGCAAGACATGATGGCTCATACCTTTAATCAGCCCTCTGGAGGCAGAGGCAGGCAGATCTCTGAGGGTTGGAGGCCAGCTTGATCTACATAGGCAATCCAGGCCAGCCAGAGCTACAAAGTGAGACCCTGTCTCAAAATAATAATGATATTAATAGGGGGCTAGAGAGATGGATCAGTGGTTAAGAGCAGTGACTGCTCTTGCAAAGGACTTAGGATCAGTTCCCAGATCCCACATCAACCATCCATAACTCCAGTTCCAGAGGATCTGGTGCCTTCGTCTGACCTCCAGGCACATTGTATGTGTAGGTACTCTTACATGCATGCTGGCAAAACACTCATACACATAAAATTAAAAGTTAAGTTGTTTTAGTAATAATGAATTGGTGCTATGTGTACTAAGAATAACTCAAGTGTGGATTAATTGAGGTATCTCTGGAAGTTTACATAACTAGTAACAGTTGCCTCCAGGGAGGGAGCTGGGGGACTGGGAGTTGGGGTGGAGAAAGGAATTACTTTCACTCTGTTTTCTTTTTTTAATGCCAAATGCATATATTGCTTATCCTTGTAATAAGTAATAACAAAATTCAATCTATAGATAAAATTGAAAACAGCAATCAAATGGTTCCATAAACGTAAATTTAGGGGCTGAAAATACGACTCAGTGGTTAAGAGACTGGCTACTCTTGCAGAGGACAGGAGTTTGATTCCCAGCACTCACATGGCAGCTAACAACTGAAATTCCAGTTCCAGGGGAATCTGATGCCCTCTTCTGACCACCATAGGCACTGTACAACATGGGTACACTTACATACATGCAAGCAATATATTCATAGGCATAAAGATAAAAAAAAATTTTAAGTAAATTTAAAAGAAAATAATGCTGAGCTTGGTGGTTCATACCCTTGGCACTCCAAAGAAGCAAAGGAATTGTGAGTTTGAGGCCAGCCTGGGCTACAATGTGAGACTTTGTCTCAAGAGAGAGGAGGGGAAGGAGGAAGAGGAAGATGAAGAAAAGAAGAAACAAGGAAAAAAGGGGAGGGGAGACAAAAATGAGACCAAAAACAAAACCCATTCAAAGAGATTTCCTTGACTGTCAAAGCCAAGGCCCCAGAGTGGAAAAGAATAGAAGTTCTGGGAGTCATTGCCCTGGCAACAGGTGTTCAGAAGGAGAGCCCAAGGGAACTGGATTTTAGGCTCAGCCGCCCTGCTGAGCAGCCTGTTGTCTTGGACAAGCCACTGAACCATCTATACCTCCATCTTCTCACATTTGAGCTCTGCAGGCTCAGAACCCTTTGGGTCATTTCTAGCAAGGAGCTCCTTGGCCCCTCTGCAGTTAAGATCACTGATAAAGATCCTCAGAATTCTTAATA